TATCTCACCTACGAACTCTGTTTTATCCCAAAGCTTCTCGCAGTAGATTAAGGGCGTGCTTTGGTCAGCCACGATTCCCGTTATCGGGATAAAAACAAAGGAAATTCCTTTCGCCCAGTAATTGCACGAATGGGAAAAGAAACCAACATGATTTTCGTTAATTCGAGTAACGAAATATAAAAATATTTGTAACATTGTGAACTAATTAAATTCCTATTCAAAAATATATAAAATAAATCAAAAGACAAATTATAAAAATCTAGAGAATTTTAATCTAAATAATATCAGAAGAAAAATATACTAATCCTAATTTAATATAAAAATTTGTAATCATTACAAAATATTTCTAAACAAATTATTATTGATTAGAAAAATTCATTAAATCTTAACTAAAATTATAGATTCATAAACAAAAGTTTGCACATGAATCTTCAATAATTATCCAATAAAAGTATGATAATTTTTTTTTAATTCTTGCATATTGCAAAACGATTGAAAATCGCTCGTTTCCAATATCCAGTACAAAAAGCATTGGCTATAAAATCGCCGCGACAATTTTCAAAGCTAATTACAAAAATTGTTAACGACTTCGAGGTCCACGAGATCACCGGGCAATATACCCAGTTAGAAATTGCGTCCAATTAGTATTCGACGCTTAAAGATTCCCATTTTTGAGACCGTATAAGGTTCCACCCTTTCCTAGTAAACCGGCAAAAGCTTATTCAAATTTAATTTCTTTACGATTAGCAATCAGGCGAACGCGATTCCTGTTTTAATCGTCGCTCGTTCCCGGCCGTGGAAACGCTTCTAATCCCAAGGAACGAGATCGGTGTTCCTTAAAATATTCCGCGTTAGTTCCCGCGGGATTACTACGCGCGTAAATACGAGCGCATACGTGAATGCATTCGCGCCCAGGGACACGTGCAACATCAAAGAAACTTTACGAATTCGACAACGTCGTTTTACCCGACGATTCGCATTAACGCTTCCCACGGTTCTCAATTAGTCCTATTCTTTTTTCATTATTATTTTTCACGTTAAAAATAATTTTACACATAGAGGATATTTCGAATATTGTCACTGAAAAGAAATGAAAAATTTATTCGAAAATATTCTATTATTAATATAATATAAATTTAAAAAAAATTGTGGTAAGTATTTGTTAATTACTTTGATTTTCCAAAATAGCTGTGCTCAAAGTTATGAAAAAATTTGTTTTTTAAAGACCCACCGAGATTTAGCAACCGCTGCAATTATGCATAACGAAACGTCCGCGAGAACTCTGGCAACAAATTAAACGGAAGTTCAAAATTTCTTTGATGTTGCACGCACAGAAGGCGACAGAAGCTCGGTGACAAAATTCGAAACAATTAAACGTTTGCTAATAAAAAATCATTGTTAATGATGTAAAGTGTATACATTTTTATTTATGAGTACCATGTAACTGCAAAGGGTTAAACCACCCTTTCTGAATTTATTTTTAAATGACAAAAATATATATATTTTTCTCAATTAAAATAAAAGAATTATCTCTCTAAGAATTATACGCCCGTATAAACATCAGCAGTCTACAAATGGCAAATTGACAATTCTATCCTATCGAAAAGAAACAAAATATTTGAAGAATTCGAAAATTCACAGCTATGCTTGTTTCTCGATTCGCTAAAGCGATTCTCTCTTGTCATCAATTCCGAGTGTGCCTGAACTTTCCGGCAGCGTTCACCGACAAAAATCGTCGCCAACTACTTCCTGCGGGAAACAAGATTCATCCCGATAACGTCAAACGAAGTTTCCAGCGAGCATTTCGAACGGCTGCGTTCTTGTACACGACTAATACGTGAGCGGCAACATCAAAGAAACTTTACGGGGTTTCGGTGTCGTTTAACACGTTGCGACGATCCCTACCCCCATAGACGTTCCTCAACGACGATGGTAATTGCTGTATAGCACAGTGTATTCAGGGCTGTGTATCGTTACGCGATCTCCCAGAAAATGAACAGCAAATGGAGTTTCGTTTCGCGGCGACAGCGAATTGTGTCCAGTTGCGATTTTGGTTATCCGCTCATTCTCTTTCCCTCTGTTCGTGCTCTGTCAATCTTTTTTTGCCGGATTTTCTCGCTACTTCTACTATGGAATAAAACTAGTTTAATACGTGTTGATTGATAAAAAGCATCGTTATTATTTTAAGGCAAATTGTTTCGCAATTATTCGAACGAGTTAATTTGTACGAATTACGTTTCTCCTGTTTTAGACTAAATTCAGTTCCATTTTGAACGATCGGATTTGTGATTTCAAGGTACGCGATTTGGAACTGATTATATGGGTTATAAATTTTTTATACAGATGGAAATATCAGATATTTATATAAAAACCGAATATCCACCTTCATTTCGTATTATTTGCGCTGAAACTGTTTAGAACTCTTGTTTATTGGATATTTTTTGTCCACTTTTATTACTTGTTTTTAAATCCTTTTTTTTCCTACGATACTCTACATAGTCTGTCGTTTCGAAATGAAACTTCAGCAATTTTCAGAAAGAGCATCGTTTAAATGAAACAATAAAAGCGTACGGGTACATTGTCATTTCGCAATCAAGCTTCGCCAGTCTCTGACGAGAGACTCTTTCATGAAATAATAAAACGTATTGTGTAACGTCATAGTGAACAGAAATCATTAAAGAATCATTGTATTTCCCTTTGAATTTCGTTTCAAAATTATGCGACTCTTCTTAAGAGGGTACTTAACTGTGATTTTAAAAAACTCAACTTGTTTCTCATAATCTCTTGAAACTATGTTATCTGACTTAGCCATCATAAAATTTTTAAAACTGTACATTTTATTTCCTTTAAATTATGTGAAAATATTTTTAAAAATAGTGGAGCATTTTTTGGATAGCTCAATTATTTGATTTTCTGGAAATAAGTGATTTTTAAGTAGTACGAGTCAATAATTTGCGCTCAGACAGAAGGGGTTCAGTAAATAATTAATAACTTCGCCATTTAGTAACATTTCTACTCTCCAAAAATTTGAATATAAAGTTAAAAGTTATATCTATAAGTTCTAAAAAAAAATGAAAGCCTTCATTCAGTCTTTGTCTATGAAAAAATTTCCAAAATTTACTTATTTGCCAGAAACTGATTCCTTATGAAATCTATCATCAACAGGATCTTCTTGACCCGTCTGACTTCTATTAATTTTCAGCCAACACTGGCACAAACCTAACATGATTACAACTTTCTAGATAATCAGATTTAGGCGAAGGAAATACAGCAGGATAACCGGAAACTTCTCCTGGATCTCAACGAGATTTGACCAAGACACGCGGTGAAAGTTTGAAGAAAACGTTCTACTGGGATCATTGATTCTTGAATAAGAGAAGAAACTCTTGTATCTCTGCCCCAGGGACTATTGGTAACAAGATTGCGAACGTTTATGCAAGAAATATGCATACATAAAGCATAGTATCATTCATATTCAAATTTAATTTTATACAATAACATTTTGTCCAAATTTCAGTTACGTGTGAATGATAAAATTTGATTGTAATTATTTAATGATAGCTGATTAATCCCATTAAAATATCACCAAAATCTTCGTGCAAATGCTAATGGAGCGGTGCATAAAATTATAATTAAACCGATAAGTTTCTCACAGTATTAATTACCCATTCAATGATCTAGTCATCAACGCTAACGATTGTATAATTAAAATCAAGATATGAACATTACAATCTTCAATTATTAATATAACTATTTTATAAACGAAATTGGAAAAACTATAAGAAGAGTCCCAACCTTGCCGTATTAAGATTTTATAAATCTAATAAGGATAATGCACTCCCAGGAGTAGAGTCGTACCACTTGTAATCGGTGTCCTGCGGTGTCACGATACGAATTGTCTTACAGCTTTCTCTCTTGTCCCGCGTTTCGGTGCAAATTACTGAAGCTTTTTATCCTTTGAAAGGACTACAGTCACGACGTCTTTGCGATTAGATCAAGCTTTTCCTTCCCAACTCTTCTGTTCCTTCGTTTCTCGTTACTTTCCATTTGTTCCCTTTTTGTCTTTCACTTTGATTTCACGCATTTCCTTCTTTATTTTCCTCTCTACTTTACTGTTTCTATACCTCCAAAAGCGTACTTTATAACCTCCTCGTTCCTTTGTTTTTCAATTTTGATCCACCTCCGCTGTTGTCCTTCTCCTGCGAACGTTTCCTTGCCATCATTTTCTCTGGTTTGTATCCTAAAATATTCCTTCTTCTTTGGAAGTAAATTGCCTTCTCGTTACAAACGAAAAATTTGACTTTATTGTACAGGTCTCTAAGAATTAATATTTTCCAAAATTATTTCCATTCATATTTTTCTACAAATTTTTTTCCCGCATCTCATATTTTCATTACATTTTCTTACATCTCTTTTCAACCGTTTTTCTTCTCCTCACAATTTTCAAATCTTTTCTTCACATATCTTCTCCCACCACCACATTACTTCACCATCATCGTCACCTCTGTCTTCGCACATCCCCGAAGTCTCCATCTTCTCCTCATTATCCTCATCATTCCTGTTCGCATCATTTCTTCAACTCCGAATCCCGGATCTTTTTCCTATACAATTCTTCATGATCTCTCTTCAACCTTCATTTTCACCCTTCTCCCATTCGCGTGCACCCTTCGGTCCCATTCTCGTCGGCGTCGCGGTGTTCCCCTCTCGCGACGCTCTTCGTCGTTCCTGCGCTCGGACGGGCTTGCGCGCCTCATCCTGTACGGAAGAGGCCTCCTCGAGGAAGGAGGACCGCCAGGATCCCGATCAGTTTACCGGCATCTCTCAGTCCGTGCGTACGCGTGCGGGCTACCGGTGGGTCCTCCCCCGTCGACGATCACGTGCGTCGACGCGAGTACGCGGCTGTTTTTCTTCCGTGATGCCAGAGGAGTTTCCGGTATCCGGCTTCGCTGCCAGCTCCTGAGCTATGAGAAACTTCTTCGGGCACAACGGAGCAGGTTTGAATAAACAAAATTCTTTCACCGAAACGTTGCTGGGTGACCAGTTTGATCGACGAACGAAAAAACCGGATGTTGGATTTGTGGGGAAAACAGTTTCACGAGTTTCCCGAACGGATTCCCGATCGTCCCGCTGGACTCCGACAAGTTTTCTAAACGCGTCGTTGTTTCAATCAGAGTTGCCACGAATCGACGACGCGACGCGTTCTGATGGAACTAGACGGTGAATTTATGTAAGTTTCAGACGAGTTTCACAGAGAATTTCCGTCCCGACGCTGTTAACTCGATTGCGGTTGTGTTAATGGGGAAGACCGATCGGGAGTGCGAAAACCTTACCACGTTTCCTTCGCGAGCAAATTGCCAGCCATCGATATTGCCTGGCACGAAACGTGATCGTCCTTGCTTTGACGAAACTTCCCGCAGGATACATTGCATCCAACATTTCGTCCTTTTCTCGACGAAACTGGCGAACGACGCGATCGCATTTGTTCGTCGATCATAACGTCTGAACGAAGTCAGCTTTTTCTGTCAGCCGTTCCATCATCAGATTCCGAACATTTAAGCCGTATACATCAATATCATGGTGTCAGTGAATCGTAAACGATCGTTCAAACTATACTTCCACGATTAACGACCGATGATTGTCTTCGCGGTGGTGTCAACTGTCTTCATTTTTTATTATAAAGATAGAGAGTCATTGAATATTATTGTCTTTCTTTAATGAAGTTATTCTAAGTAGAAACAAATATTATGAAAAATTTCATTAAAAATTGTCGAAGGTAATAGAGTCCACTTTGAAAATCCTCTTAACAAACTTCCTCGGGGAACCGTTCAAATAAGATTAAGAACAATTTAAGCTTCAAGTTAATTCATTTATAAAGAACTATACATAATTGCTTAAAAATGATCATTCGATAAAGCTTCAAATAACAATCAATCTTAACGAGATTAAAGTTTCCGGATGAAATTGATTCAATTAAAACCTTTGACCTTTTGCACAGACTCCATTCGAAAAAAGGAGGGTGGTCCAGAAAATTTTTCAAAGTCCATCAAATTCGAGAGCCTTTCTTTTGATAACCGAACGCGTGTCTCTCGTTACTATCTCTAAAAGAAGAAAAAAAAAAAAAAAGAATCGGCTAAAATAGGACAAAATTGTCGACCAGTTCCGAAGCGTGTGCATCGAAACAACAAGCGTAGGAGAGGGTCGGTGGCGTCCTTAGGCACCGAAATAAATGGCGAAACGCCGCGGGAATAATTGGATTGGTACTTCTGCCCGGTGTCTTCGTTATCTTTTTTAATTGAGACACATTGTAGAGGGCGAAAAGCGTGCCCGTTACTGAACACGCTTGTCCCGGAAATGCACGTACAACCACGATCGAAGTGTTATGATCTATGAAGAGGTATTTTCATGAAAATTCAAATTCCAGGCTCGAGTGGTACGAACCTTTTCCGAGATCGTTCTTCTGATCTTCGATAATTGAGCAATTATCGAAAGCCATTTATTTAGGATACAACACGGAAATTGATTTACATCCGGTGAAATGCTTGTGCGTGTGTGTTTTTTTTTCCGATCGGGAAAATGGTAACATTTTACTGGCGTTTACGTTTCGATGGTTTTGAAATAAAATTCGCATCGGAACGCGTGTGTTTGTGGATCTAAATAACGATGATTTCCGGATCTGTTACAATTTACGATGCAACTTTGAATACGCGGCCCTTCGGGATCGCTTCTCTTACACGCTTCACTTAATAAGCTCTCATGTGCGTTTTTACGCCAAGGAATTCATAATATCGCTCGGTTTTACGTTCGCTAATTCTCTGTAGAGGAAAATCGGTTAGGATATTGTTATTTCCGTGTGTGAGTAAATTTAAATACAACTGCGCATCAATGATGATTATAATGTTAACCACAGAGGAATCTGGGTCGATCGAGACCGAAACTTGGAAGGAAATTAATCTGAAGTTGAATCTATAATTTTTAAACGAAAGGGTTTTATATATTGGAAGAATAATTTTTAAAGGAACGGTGTAAAATTTAGAAAATGAGAATAATATGAAATACAGAATTAAATTAAAATTGGGGCTCTCTCCATGGTCCGTCGTACGAAGATTGAAACGTATCAAGTTAGAATCAATTAAAGAAATGAATAATTAACAAATTAAATTTATTAAATTAATATCTTCGATATCTGTAATAAATGTTTATTAAAAAGTACTCATTCTTTTTGAATATAAAAAGGAAGAAAGTTTTTCGCGATACATTTGTTGAAACAACAACCATATCACGTCATTAGATAATTAGTAAACGTCTATAAAAACTGCTACCATAATTCCACGTGTTTCTTTCGTAATTAACGATCAATTTACGGAAGCAGCTGCTGCTGCTTCCATCCAGGCCGATTAGCAGCGAGCAGAAAAATACCGAGTAGAGGAGTCAGAAACGAATCAGACGCTCGACTGCTTTCTCTCTGACCGTTAATTCCGTTAATTGTTAACAACGTCTGGAGCAGGGAACAATAGCAACAATGAAAGGAGGATGTGAAATTTACACGAGCAGGAATTAGCTTCTCGCTAAGAGAAGTTAGACCCCGTTGTTGTCCACCATGCACGAATTCACTTTATAAATCACGTTTCGTTCGTTTGCAGGAAACGTTCTCCCGAATTTCACCTCGCATTCAGTTGGTTGTTTTTTCTTTCCCGAACGTACATCAATCCACCTTTCTTTATGAAGGCTTCTTTCAACGATCGGTCGAGAATTGCTGAGAACGCGGCTTAAGGAATGTTATCAAATTTTCTGTTTCGCTGCTCTGTATTGTTATCGTTACATTTCGCCTTTACGAAATCACGTTTCACGAAATGACATGCTGGAGGAAGCTGTTAAGATAAGTGTCGGAGATTGCACCCTGATATAAACGTCTCCTCTCTGTTACTTTGAAATTAAAAACCATACAATGAGCTAAGAAATTTAAATTAGAGGGATCTATGGGATTTTTGAAAATTTTTATCAGGAGTTAATTTTTCAATTAATCTTTACAATTCATTCAAATGACGAAAATATACTTTGAATTTGAATAGTTATAATTAGAAAAATCTTCGTTAAGTCATAAAATTCATTTTATGTATTTTCTTATCTTCGGTGTACAGTTAGAACTTTAGTTGATAAGCTGAAACGACCATGAGTGTACACCGCACTACCTCAGACTAAAGAATTTATTTATAACATGACAGACTATTTTGCGACTTGTGTGTCAGGGTCATTGAAAAGTTTCCCTAAGGTCTCTTCAACGCATATGCTCTTCGCACAAGCAAGGATTTAGGTCAGTTAAACAAAGAGCTAATGAAAAATGTAAGGAAGCTGAATTTTAATATGAATTATTAATCAATAACCTTCTTTCTGTGAATAAACCTCACGAAAAATTGTATTTTCAAAAAATTGCACGGTAGAACATTTAAGAAAATTCATCTCGAATTTTTCATTAAATATAAAAGTTAATGGTAAAAATATTTTTAACGTTGTATGCATAAAGACGTAATCAAAGTTTGTGTCATAAAAAGCAACAGTTTCAAAACAAACCCTCTAAAATCCCAGTGTTTGTGATAAACAAATGATGAAGTACTTTCATAAGTAGTTCTACTTCAACACGATATTTGTTTTATTAGCATAATTTACTTGTTACGATACACGTAGGTTACAATGGTGCATCGTGAAAAAAGATGAACAAGAAAGTTTTGAATTTACGACAGAAATTTGATACGCTACCTCAAAGTTACTCGAGTGCATTTATAACCCTTTGGTTACAACTTTCAAAGGGGTGGTTGTTACTTTTCTAATAATTAATAAAAGAGAGAAGAAAAATGAATTTTGAATAATATTACTATTGTATTATTAACACGTCGAGTGCCACAGTAGAAAAATCCATATATAGTCAGACATTCCGAAATTATAATTATTGAGAATACGAATGTACAGCTTTCAAATTAAAAAAAAAAAATTTTAATAAATTAAAGGATAAGATAAATTTTGAATGGTATTACTATTATATTATTAACACCTGGAGTGATACGGTAAAAAAGTTCACGTGTAGTCAGACATTCTAAAATTGTCATTATTATGAATAATAATATAATGTGTCTGATTATACAAGTCCACTTGCACTGAAATAATTCAACGCCTTAATTATATCAAATATACTAGAATAATCTGGGCAAGAATTACCCCTTTGTCCGAAAAAATTAGTACCACAAGAATTAATCCAAATTTGCGATAAGTAAGAAAGAAGAAATAAAAATTAAAAATGCTATTCTGCAGTAAAAATATTACAATTCGTTGAATCCTATCGAAGTTCACGCCCGGCTGCGATACAGTCCGCAGGAAGGAGGAGGGGTGAAAACCCTTCACCTACTTATTCTCGGTTCACCGGTAATGAGCAGTTAATTTCTTTTTCTCAACGGGTTACGTGCTGTTTCGGACCAAGTTAGATTGCGTTGCGGTTTACGGCTTTTCCGCTCGGGAAACGAACATCGATAATCCGTATATCTACGTGTTGCTGGTACACGTTACACCCGCAAAAAACACACCGTTCCATTCTTTTTTTTTTCGCCAATTTCATCGATAAGCGTTTTGCATAGACATATCGAGCTACTACTGGCGAAAACATGAATATTCTTTTCAACATTTGATTGATATGCGAATAATATTTTTTGTGCAAAGAATATTTCAGATAAGTTTTCTTTCTGTTTAATTAAATCAATAAGTAACCGATGATTAGCCCGTTGATTGCTATAGTAGAAATGGACGCGTGTAGTTATACAATGAAAAAATATTTTTCTATGGAAAAATAGTCTGATTTTCAGCCTGATGAGAGGAATCTAGAAACGCACTACTCATCTTCCACTTCAGTAAATTCACATAAAAAGCTTATTAATAACGCGTTTCCCTGGAAACGGTCTTTAATCACGTCACGATTGAAACAATGCACCCCATTCTAAAGCCTCGTTTCATGACTGCCAGAATACTACAGATGCACAGTTTCAGTGAAGCAATTAATTGTTCTTTTTCTGAAAATTAACCAGAAGCAGTGTGCTGGTGGCGCATGGTTCAAAGAAATTTTTGAAACGGTTCATTTTATCCATGAGACTCGATTCTTTTGAGCCAGTTTCGTGCTGTTCTACTTGCCACAGAATCTCGTGATTTAACCATTACTCGTGGACAAGAGAAAAAAATAGCATACAT